ATATTATGTTATTAATTGTTTGGACCTCTTTCTGTAGGTTTTGAATTGTTTCCAATGCTGTATCCATCTTATTTGATTGTTCCTATAGCGCTTTCCTGACTTCTTCCTTATTTTTCTCAACTCCATTGTATAGTGTTTTGATACATTTTATAATCATTTTTCTGAATTCGTTCTCAGGCATTTCCAAAGCCTACCCAGCTTCCAGTATGGAGTGTAGGTCTACTTCCAGCTCATTTATCTCAGTCATTTTATCGCGTTTCTGGACATGTGCAGATATGGTCATCTGCTTTTGTTTTCTGTGTTACCTGTGGCCTTAATACTTAGAAGGGTATGTATTTTGGTATTTTTTTATGCTTTCTGTTTGCCTCCAGGTTGATGTGATCAGGAAATGGGCTTCCTTTTTCACTTTTCTTCTTGAGAAATTTCAAGATGCCACTGTTGGTTGTTTTGATGTAATTTAGGATTTGATTTTTGGCTTATTTCCTTTTTTGTCTGCTTGTCCTGCTCCACAATCACCATTCAGGCCTCTTTTCTAGTTGTAAACAGTTCAGGGCCGGCTGTGGCTGTTTGGTTTTAATTGGAAACTGTCTCTTTAAATTTCGAGGAGATCTGTGTGCATGTGTAGTAGAACCTTCCAAAGGTATGGCTGGGGTGTCCACTAGCTCAGGGACCCCTATTGTCACCAGAATGGAGGTGCACAGACAGCAAGGGACCAATGAACAGATACCAAAAGAAAGAATGTCCACACCTTTATCTCTACAGTTCTGCCAGGCATCTGTGGCTGCTCTAATCCTTCCCCCGCTTGGTCTCACTCAAGATGGTGGCTCCTTGAGCAGCTGAGCGTCCCAGACTAGAAAGCAATGGATTTCTTGCTTCTGCCACAAATTCCCCAGCTGTAAGCCTTCCAACCTTCTAAATATTCCTTTATATGTGGTTCGGAGCTCTGTGACTATCCCCTGAGCCTGCTTGTTCAGGTGTTCTGTGTTGTTGCTGGTGGAACTCTTTACTGCACGTCCACCAGATCCGCCATCTTGTTTGTTCCCTACTCTTGTCTTTTTCTTGTTCCCCTATCTCCATTTTATTTATTCTTTCTCTCTTCCCTATGTAGGCCTTCCATCGCAGTACTAGGCATATTTACCACCTGGTAGACACATGTTCAACCATTTCAAGAGGTAGCATATGATCAAGAGCCAATAGATACTGAAGGAGGAAGTCCAAGGTACTTTGAAGGCATTAGCAAAGACCAAGGTACCAGGAATTGATAAATTTCAATAAAAATTGAAATCTTTCAAGAAAGTAAGGTGGCACAGGATGCATACACTCATCTATGCCAAGAAATTTGGAAGACAACTATCTGGCCAACTGATTGGAAAAGATGCATATTTGTGTTCATTCCAAAGAGCGGTGACCCAATGGAATGTGGAAATGATCGGACAATCTCTTTGATATCCCATGCGAGTAAAGTTTTACTAAAGGTAATATGGAAATGGCCACAAGCATACATTGACAGAGAAC